TATGAGCTGCATTATGAGCTGCAATCCCAAATCCTCTACTGATAATATATCTGTCGTTTAGTGGAATAATTAGGCCTTTGAGTTACTAACTGTACTAACATTCTTTTCAAGATTACCGTCTTATAATTTTCAGAGGAAAATAGTTACCTTTTATCACCAAGTTTGAGCCAAGACTTATGTGAGGAGTGATATTTTTGGTCAAATTGAAATGAAGATTCCTTGACCCTAAAAATTTAAAATCAGAATGTTCAGTATTCTCAGTTTACGTATCAATTTTTTTAAAAAAGTCGAAAATTGGAATTAGTGCCTAACTTATAACTTTCTGTGCTRTATTTTCGAATGAAATACATCTAAAAGTCTGCTCGATGCATTCGAGTAATTTCAACGACTTTGTTGATATGCAGATATCAAGTCGATATTATCTAACAAGAATGTTTCCCTTTTTTATTTTTTTTAAATAAATGTAGTGTGGGTGTATCTAGCTAATCAGTTGTGTGTATATTTTTTTTCTCCGTCCAGGAAGGAAGGAAGACATACTATTTCATTAGTTCGAAATTTGCATTTCTACGGTTTTTCACAAACATCAAAGTTTTTGCACCAGAAAATACAATCATCTCGCATTTTGAAAARAAATATCACCGTCGATGAGTAACCGACGGCAAAAAAACAAAGATTTTGTAAACAAAAGCCAAGCAGAAAACTTCCGCAAATAACGTTGACTTTTGAGACTCTTTTTTAAGACTTTTTTAAGACTTTTTTAAGACTGACTTTTAGGCCTTTTGTAAAAGACTCTTCATGTGCTGTAAATTATAAATCGCACCAAAGTTTGACTCAGTGATGAATAAAAAGTACTTACTGTATATATAGCACTTGTTTAAATGCATGATAACTTACCTGGCTTGTTCAAGTACAATAATTCAGTTGGTATAGGAGACCAACTAAGATCACCAGGAGACTTTACTGCAATGTTTGCAAATGAGCCAGCCCACGTCAATTTAGCGTAAACCTCCAGATGGTACAGATGACAAGTAGCAATCATTTTTATGTTTTGCTTGGTACTCCTGAAAAAAAGGTATACCAAGAATTGGCAAAAGCTTGCCAGGTTCAGGTAGGTTAAATCATTGAGATTTACTGCGGATATAGACATTGAAAAGTTTGAGAAATATATTGTGTGAATAGCAACATTTCATATTATAAATATACTATCGATGTGATTCCATATAATCAGGTCACATGGTATTAGTCTAGTACCACGTACACATTTAAGGGCATGTCTCGCGCAATTAAAAACAAACAGAGGTATTGAAAAATGAGTAAGAAAAACAGAACAACCAAAAACATTGAGAGTTATTATTTTTCATGCTATGTTGGCTTGTATATGACACCCATCAGGAGAACAATCACAATAACAGAGTAGAGTGAGGTCTACTGTTGCTGCACTGAAAACAAAAATCAAAGAAAATGAGAAACGAACCTTCATTGTAGGCAAATAAATGTATAGTTGTCAATTTTTGATAGTTAAAATTGCTCTTAAAGTTGTCTTCTTTTTACATTTTCGAGCCGGCATATTACTGAATGCTATGTTGTGATGCGTGTCAATCACAATTGAGAGAAAATAATTAGTGTGAATTGCATGAATTTGCCATTATT